ACACATCCTTATGCTCCATCATACATGGCTCAGCAGCTCTACATCTCTCTGCATCAATGCACATCAATACTTACTTGCAGGCTCCACATTCAAAAATCCCGTTTCCCTCGTGGCACTTCGGACTGTTGGGCTCTCCCTTTTTGGCACATTCACAGTCACAGATGAAATTGAGCTCTATCGCCACCTCCTCATTGAAGCCCAGCGGTTTCACTGTAATGACCTCAGGCTTGCCACCTGAAGGACACTTCTGAGATTCAATAGAAATCTTAAAAGACACCTGGAAAGCAGAGAGAATCACATCGTATGAGGAGGATGCCATCAAGGTAACTGTTTTTCTTTGTATGATTGTCACATTTAAATGTTTCAGATCATCAAATAAATGTATTTGACTCAATACATTCTTCCCAGAGTATCTAAACTCTTTCTTTTTCCTAGATATAATTTTTGGTTTGCTTGTTTTACACTCGTCAGCAAATGGAAACCAAGCCTGGATCCTATTACCTCGTCGCCAATGGAGATGTTAGTGCACTTCCTGCCGTTGTCCTCTGTTCCTCGCACACCGTTTTTACAGAAGGCTTTGTACGAGATAGAAACGCCCTCGGGCAGCTTGCTGTTCTCCAGAATCACCTCAGATGACAAAGACTGCAAAAAAGAAAAAGATAAGAATCAAACATTTATTAAACTTTGTCTCTCTACAGATGAGTAGCAGCTTATAACTAACTTAAGTAATAATTAATTCCTTATAATTAATATGTATTTATGGGAGTGGCACAGCTAAGGCATAGCTGTCACTTGGGTTTGTTTATGATGGAAGAGGGAAAGTATTCATACACACAGGTGAAGAGGAACGCACCAGTTTCTTAAATTTGGCTGATTATTTGCATTGAATTTCTCTGTATGTGACCTCTTACGTTTATGTTACATTTTGTTACCTGTAATCTTTACGTGCTCAGATGAAGATGACAAATACCTGGCTATGTATACATGAGAAATAACTCAATGCTAAATCAATCCCCGATCATCAGGGAGAGTCGAAGATCACGTGATGATTGTGCAGTTCAACTTACATTGTAGGCATCAATGATGAGTTTGATGACATTACTGGAGTTGGAGGAAAGCGTGCCGACAGCTGATTTGGGAATAAGATTTTTCAACTCCTGTAAGAGAAAC